AAGTTTCTGGAACGACGTCGGACTTCACCGTTGGCACGAAGCAGCAGATTCCCGAGTGAGCTTCGCTGCAGTAAAGGCTCCACCACTTCCGGCCGGGCGGCGACTGCCGAAACGTACCATTTGCAAAAATCCCGAAACGCTTCATGCCGTCCCGCCATAACTCGGCAGATGGCGAAGGCTACGGTCCCTGCGAGCCAATAGGCATGTTGGAGAGGGACACGTGACCACTCTGTCTTGCTGGTCATGTGCAGTGCCGTCGAAGCCACGAGCGGGAGAGAGGAAGGCTGCTTTTGTACAGATTTCGAAGGACAAGCTCGTCTGAAACGCACACAAGAGGGTCCGCGTTAAGAGGCGACTTCCTCCTTCCCCTCTTCTGCAACCGCTTGGGTTACGCTCCAGCCCCCATACCCTTCGTAAGGGCCATCACGTGGTTCGGCCCCGTCACTCTGATTGGCTCCAGGAGGTCCGTAGCGTTTGTTCTTTGCCGAATTACGACGGTACAAAGTATAGTGTATAGCGACCATGTGACACTGAAGAGAGCGAGATGAGAGAAGGAGGGTAGCCAACAGTCGGCAACGTTTTTCAACGCCCGCTTGCCTCTGTTGCATCCGTCATCTGCTACGGCCAGTACAGCCAGTTCCCAGAATTCCTTTTGGCGCTGCGAAGGGCACTGCCTGTTTTGCATAATGTCTTTTGGAGTCCAACGCTGGCTGAAATATCTTTAAAAAAAAGATGTGTTCCTAGAACCTTCTGCATTTAAAATCAAAATGTGAGGAATTTGTGCCAACATTGTGCCAAAACTTAATTCCTTTCTCAGTGCTGAAAATAAAGGCCCAGGCCCCGTCACACTGTCGTATTGTTACAAACTTATAAATAGCGCTTTAAATAACATGCTGTTTGATCATCATGCTAAGCACTGACAGTACTTGGGAGTTTTGCAATATTTCTCATTGCTCGTGGTCTCTTAATAGAGAGTTTGAACAGATTGTTTTTGTGCTCTGATAACGATATCCAATAATGACACCATGCATGCGCAACGGCTCCGGCAGAGTTTCCGGTATGTCATCATCGGAATGGCAAAAACGCTCTACTAAAACTCTATCATCTCCGTCAAATAAGCTTGTCACCGCACACAGATGCAGTGCTGAGAAGCGACACACCTTTGCTGTAGTGCAGCGGTGCGCTGTGGTGAGGAGCACTCTTTCAAACTGGGATGGTTGGAATGCGCGCATGTCGGGAACTAAAAAACAAATGAACTACCATAAAATATTGCGGAAGCGCCCACTTTGTTCAAGCACCTACTATTAGCATTCTCCAAACTTAGGAATTCTGCAAATTATACATTAAGCACCTGATTTGACTGGACAAGTGCCCATGTCTAGATTAAACCTGTTTTCAGTGAATGTGGAGTGGGTACATCCCGGTATTTTATTGTAGGTGGGTGCTGATGTCTTGTAGTAAAAATTTCAAAATAAAACCGAAGCTAGTACATATTGTAGACTATGACATCCTGATGAGTTGCCTGTGTCACTCACTGGTCATGATTTTTATTTTTTTCAACTCGCCGATTCAAGGAACTCTTGGGTGTAGCAAGAGGTTTTTAATAATAGCCTCGATTAGGATTTGCAAGCTTCACAATTCTCTCAATTTCACGGGGAAGTGCAAACAGGAGTGGTGCATTTTACGGTTAATTTCCTGTAATAGTAAGAAGCACATCTTAAGGGGAACCTTTTCATCATAGTGTCAAATGCATATTACGGTGAAGTTCTCGTAATACGTATCGGCTGCAGCAAGTTGCTATCCCCGCTGCGACACGCATTTCACTTGCAAATGTTCATTCTCCGAAAAGGCAGCGGGTTTCGAGGAAGCACGCTCGGCAGTCGTATCTCCTGCTTTTGTTTTATCTTGAGCCGTCCGATACACTCACTGTGCCTCGTCTGCAAGTCTGTTGTTGTTCTGCTCGGTGGAATATTCCGCGGCATCACAATGCGCTGACTCGGCGAAATGCGAAGCTTGACTCGATCCAAGGGCAAGGCAAGTTGCGAGGCGGAACGCCTCATGTACGAGGGTCGGTGGGGGGGTGGGGGAGGCGTGCAGTTGACTTTAATTGGTTAATTAGCACTGTCTGAAGGTGGAGGGGGAGGAAGCTTGCGGCTTTGTGCTCTTCATGCCCTTCTGGAGATCAGCGTCTGACGCGGGATCTGTCAACTGGGGTCGAGCGTCTCGACGACTCACTGGCATGTCTCGGTGAAGAGGCACTGTGGATTATAGAGAACCATGTCCCGCGTGCGGGAGATGAGAAAGAACTTTCAGGAGTCCAAGAATGATGTCATCGTGGTGCAGCCTTGGTGAGGCAGTGCGGCTCTGGATCCCGTTCATTTTATTGCATTTACTCGCCGTGTCTTTTCGGATCTTTTTGTCCTTTCAGCTAGGGACAGAGTCCGCCTTCTAAGCTCATTTACAGCCTGGTCACTGTGGCGCCTTCATTTTGCCTACGGTCACTTTGCGGTTTGCGATCCTTGTAACTGGGATTAGTATTTACATGGTTGAACCTGTGTGCATTTGGAAATCAGTGCGGGTGTGGTTGTGCAAGTATAATTGTATTCGGTTGAGACTAGATCACATCTTTACATGCTTTCTCTCCCTCTCTCTCTTTCTTATCGCCATTGCTTTTTGACGTGCGATAGATCTCGTGAGTCATATCTTCAACCTTTTTTGTTTCTCAAATTGAAGAGATGCTGGAGTGTCGTAGCTGCACGGCTGAGCTGTCTATAAAGCTGGACTGCCTCTGCTTTTGACAGTTTTTATGTTCACATTTTTTCAAATAGCTTGAGCTTAGTCCAGTGCGGGACATATTCCGTTGCATTGGAAAAGGGAATGTGTAGTCAAATTGTAGACGAATTTCAGAGAAGGCCATAAATTGCGAACAGAGTTATGTCCTTTTAATGTAGGAGAGAACCCTGCTATACTAAGTGGAGGTGTTGTGATGGCACCGACAAATCAAACCTTTATGTAATGGGACTGATCCTATCCGATTCATGTATAAATGTGCCTCGCACAGAAGACAATGGCAGCCTGTCATTGTCATGTGACAGTAACTTGAGAATGTCTGCACATTGTCAACTGTGAAGGAATGTAAGCGAATAATAGCGTTAAAGAATTGTGCACTCAAGCCATGAATTAGTAAGGCAAGAATCAAATCATTTTTATTCTTTGTTATCTGAAAACTTGTTATGACAGAATATAGTTGAAAGCAATATGTTGTGACAGCAGTTGCTATCTCCGATTCTATCTTTCTGTTATTATTTGCTTCCAGGCTTAATAGCTACCAAAAACAAGAGTGAAAACTTGGCATATTAAACAGTAATACAACATTAATTAGATTGGACAGGAGCTGTCAATTATACAGTTCAAACAAGAAATGTTGCTTGAAGTTGGAGGAGTGATGTTTGACTTTTTCTGTATCTGTCTGTTTTAGCTTTGTAAAAATGCCTGGACCTCGAGGCTGTAGTAACACTGTTCTTTTTGTTTTCAATAATTTCTCTTGGGACTCTGTCTTGTCTCACCCAGTGTAAGAGCACAGTAGTAAAGTGAATTTAACATACTTAGTGTTGCTGGCGTACTTACGTCCATTGCCCTAATATTTGTTTTAATATTCGTTTGGTTCAGCATCGATGTCTGTCTGCTATTGTCGTTGGCCAGTGAAACGACTTCCGGATATTTTCGGACGTATTATTGTGCAATAAATCATTACTTGGTCAGTCTTCTCAAAACTGGCAACCCTTGTTCCCGCAGTTCACATGTTCTATCCTCCTCTTACCACCTTTCTGGCATCCCAGTAACTGCTTGTTCATCGTACAAATATCTAGGAATTCATCTGACCTGTCATGGACCACTCATATAACAACTGTCATCGCCAATGCTAACCGCACTCTTGGATTTCTTCGCCGTAACCTCAGACAAGATACATCCCCCGTAAAACAACTGGCTTATACTACCTTGGTCAGAACTAAACTAGAATTTGCTTCCTCCATATGGTCACCGTGGCAGGCATACCTAACTAACAACCTGGAATCCATTCAAAGCAGGGCCCTCCGTTTTATTTATTCCGACTATTCCCCTTACGCAAGCATATCAGGACTTCGCCAGTCAGCTAACCTTGACGCTCTTTCTCACCGCCGCAGGGTGTCTCGTCTTTCTCTTCTTCATCGGATCTTTTATTATAACAGTCATCTCAGACAAAGTTTGTTATCACCTCCTTACCGCATTTTCCCTCGTCTCGACCATTCTTGTAAACTCCGTCCAATTTCATCGTCAACCGTCACTCACCAAATGTCTACTTTACCATTGGCCATTGACGACTGGAACTCACTGCCTGACGTAATTGTTTCTTTATCTGATACTAAGAAATTTTCCGCAGCCATTAGCTTATTTTTTCTAACCTATAACTAGATTACAGTGTGTTTTTGTAGATAAATAGTCTTGTTACTTGTTTTTTTTTTTAAGTGTTCACTCCCTTGTATAATGCCCCCTGGGCCTTCAAGGAATAATAAATGATGATGATGATAAGTAAAACAGCAGTAGTACACAACCAACCTACAATGCAGCATGGTGAAACCAACGTTCCTGCATTAACAAACAACCCTTACGGTTGCTGTGTGAATCCAGTATGACCAGTTTCAGCAGCAGTTCTGTTCAGCTGACGCTTTCCACCGGTAACTTAGAGCGAAGCGCTAAGTCAACACTGGGGAACAGCGCTTATGGAGCGCTGACTTGAACGCAACTTAGCACTGGCGCAGTTATGTATGAGTGTTGTATCAACACTGTATTACTATGTAGCGCTTCATCAGCCAAGTGAGTGCTATCTCCAGCACTGACTATTAGCACTGCAGCAGTGCTGTGGTGTATGTGTGAACAGCCCCTTAACGGCACAATGAATTTGTCACTTTGTGGTGTCTCTGTCTGACGTGGCATCTTTTGTTGCTTTTCTGCGTGTCCAGTGAGCAGTCGGTGGCGTCTGCTCGTGCGGCAGTGCTGGTGTACGATGACAACAACAAGAAGTGGGTGCCCAGCGGCAGCTCGAGCGGCCTGTCCAAGGTGCACATCTACCAGCACACGGTCAACGGCACCTTCCGGGTCGTGGGGCGTAAGCTGCACGACCACGAGGTACGCCCCGAGTCAACATTTTCATGCTGAATACATTCTTTGGGCTCTGGGTTATTATTTTGAAAAGATGTGTAACATCACAGACAAGATGTATCGTCATGAGCAGATTTAACATTGCAGACATGTTCTAATGTCTCAGACAAGATCTAATGTCATGGACAAGGTCTGACATCCTGGACAAGATCTAAGGTCATAGACGGATGTAACATTACTGACAGATGTAACATCGCAGATAGTTGTAACATTGTGGATAGAGCATACATCTTTTTCTTGGTAAATTTGGTGGAAAAGTTCACAACATCAGATGACATAACCACATTACTTGGCATCATGGTGTCACAGGACACTGATATCTGTGAATGTATCCTGCACATTTTTTTAAAATTTAGCCTAACTATTTTTTTGCTTATCTGAAGTTCTGGTGTAAATATCCTGTTTTAGGTCATGCTCAAAGTCTCAATTCATTGAAAATGAAACAGCGAAGAAGAAATGGGCAAAAGGTGTATGATGAGTCTGCATAGTAATTTTTCATGCTAGCTTGATGTTTGGTTAAGCCATACTGTTGTATGTTCGGCCTAAAGTATAAGTCATTTGGTGCATGGAAAAGTAGAAAGAGAACATTGTCTGTAAAGTGATTCAAGACTGATGCATCTGTGGTGCAGAGGGCTGAATGATTGATCGTGTCATCTTCGTAAATTGCATCAGTTGTGCCATGGCTACATGGTATGCTGAAACTTTAAATCAGAAAAGCTCTTGTTTGATGAAGTTGACTGTGCTATTTCGAATTTACTCATTTCTTGCCTTATGCATAGACGAAGCTTGAGCTGTCCTGCCACATTCTTTTCCTGAGGACCCAAATCTGCATCCAGATATTTTAACGTTTGCTCATAAGCAGGGGCTTAGTCTCCTCAGGAGCTACCACAAGCTGTTTGGATTAACTAGCTGAACAGAAGCCCTTAACGCAGAGCTACCAGAGATTCCACTGAACTTTCGGGCCTCTGTTCTGCAGGTTCCAGTACTTGTCTCTTCTATTGGCCACTCCTGATGTGCAGCTTTATTATAACCTTGCTTGGTGCAGGTGGTGATAAACTGCGCCATACTCAAGACCCTCAAGTACAACCAGGCGACGGCCACTTTCCACCAGTGGCGGGACAACCGGACCGTCTATGGCCTCAACTTCAGCAGCAAGGACGATGCGGAGGCATTTGCTGTGGCCATGCTGCGTGCCATCGAGATGCTCAACCAGAACAGTGCGTCTGTTTTCGGGCCCCCTTTCTCATTTCCTGCCTCACGGGCTGTGGGATCCCTTTCCCCTGTATGTCCAATAGGCGGGGCCTGCAGTGAAGTCTCTAGCATCTATTGCCCGGTTCTTGAAGCCGCGGTCACGCTGCTGGTACGTCGTACGAAAGACGGTCTGCAGACGGCGTCCGAGGCGTGTTCATTCCTTGTAGAACGTTCCTGTTGCATTGGTCGCACGAAAGGTGCCTGCAGGTATGTTTGAAGCCTACGTATGCATGGAGGGAACATGCAAGCAGACGTGCTTGAAGCGCGTCTGCAGCAAACATTGCGTCTTTTGGCTTACAAGGGCAAAGGGAGGAGTCCTACCTTATGTTTTTAGTTTCCATTCTGGGTGGCACAAGCTACCGCCCGATATGAGGGGTACAACTGTTAGCACCTATCCATCCATTCATGTATGAGCAGTGTGACTGCGGTTTTAGACTGAATCCCGGAGAAAGCTCGCCATAAAAGAAAGCTGACTGGGGAAAAGCTAATTCGCTTTTTATGAGGGTTGGAAGAAAGCTCCCACTCCTTTGATGGATTTGGAAAAAAGCTCACTTTGGATACAATTTCTGTGTGACAATGGTGTAGAAGCCACAGACAGCTCGGGACTTGCGTTCAAAACAAGATGGCCACGCTACCATTTTGTAGCGATAATGCATGTAGTGCGATGGCTCATTCTGAGGAGGGTTTGGCACGTCGCTGTGCTTTGATGGATTACTTGAACCTCGGTGTAAACAATGATGCATGTTTGAAAAGTGTGACCTCCTAAAGCGGTGCTCGATTGGAAAAAACACTTTACTTGAGGGCAGGATCGACTGAGGAAACTTGGGAGCTTTAGAAACCTGTTGAACGAGATTAAAAGGAGTGGGTTTCGACGGTAACATCGTTTGTGGTCGGAAAGACATTCACTGAAATCGACCTTAATTCTCCCACGTGTCGGGGACGTGACTCTTGAATTGGATTACTACTTTCACGCCGAGTTCCACTAAGTCAAAACTTTTGCTAGATCAGCCCTCGTTACTACGTTAGTTTGTTGCCTGGGACTGAAACCTCGCCTCGTGTTGCCGTTCACACTGACCGATCCGTCGACGCGCGGCTTTGTCCTTGCAGATTCGGTCGCACAAAGGCCGGCCCCCGCCCCGGCGCCCCCCGTGCCTCAGCACGCGCCACAGCCAATCTACCAGACCATTGGGAGCGTTGCTTGGTCGCAGGACGACGTCGAGCATCAAAGGAACAGGTGCGCAGTGCACCTTTCTTTTCTGACAGCGTTTGCTCGGAATTTGCGTCCTAGACGAAGTTGCATACGAAGTCCATCCGTATCCGACACCACGATTCGATTGAGCTGACGGAGCGGTGCCAAAGGTGCATCGTCACTGCGCTCGTCACCTCCAAGCGTCTGCCATTGCCAACTAAACCGTCATGCGCAGTGGATGCCCCTGCGCTCTCTTCTGCGAGCGATTGATTTATCTGGTGGCGGCAAGCCCACAAAGACAACAATTACCGTAACCGTGCACTTTTGGCGCTGCTCGATGCAGGCATCATCGAATCCTGGTGTCGGCTGCGGCCAAACTAGAGACAAAACGGAGTGTGAGCAGATTCGCTTGACAAATTCTGATGGAAAAGTTCAACTGCACGGCGTTCCCGGCGAGTGTTTGAGCGGCCGGCGATTGTGGCTGCGAGTATGACGCCTAAAACACGTCTCCGACTGAAGCGTTTACTGTGTCCTTGATAGACTACTTCCATAAACCCCTGCATGCAACACTGTGCGCTTTGTGCTCTGGGAACTAGTGGGCCAGGGAGGAGAGTGGCATGGTTTCGTTTTCAATCAAGCCATACGGAAACTTTGTCTTGACACATGCTTGTTGTATCTTTGTACTCGACCCTTTCTGTTAGTGTTCCGAGGTATGTGGACGAGCCAGCGCTGGGAAGTTCGGCGCTGTGAAGCTTGGGGCTCTTGCTTGTGCACGAGTCAACACGCTATAACAACCAACAAGTGCACGTACACTGAGCTCGCACCTTTACATTAGTGTTGCTGGTCAGCAAGTTTGTTACTTGTTTTGTGCGTCCATTGACGAAAGATACCTTTGTTTTTCTTAATATGCCTGAGTACGCGGGGTAAAACTCGGAGACGCCATTGAAAAGCTCTTTTTATACACACTGCTTATCTCTTATCTGTACTGACCCGCGGCACTGCACAAAGTGAAATCCCCACCCGCTCGCATTCTACCAATTTAATATTGTGCATGCGCATAAAGTTATCCTGCAATCATATGGGTACATTCGTACGTACAAGCGTTTTTAAAAATGCGGCAGTTGAGCACTTGCATGAGGAATGTTGCACTGTTCACTGAACAGCACATATATGGGCGTGAACCCCTATGCGGTGTACCAAACAAACTAAAGGATTCCAGGCACATTTGCTGGTTGCTAATGGCCATAAGATTTGTCATGTATTTGCTTTCTTTCGTACTGAGTATGTCGAGATAATTTCAGACCCACCTTTAAGGTACAGATCTTGGGCGTTGTTAGAGGCTCAGTTAAAAAGGTTTTTAACGAAAAGTGTGGGACACTTGTTAGAGCCTCCGTTGTAGCTGGCCAATCTCAGCATTTGCAAAAACTTAGTCTGCAATCAGCATGAAAATTGAGTGGGAGATATATGATGATGATAAAGACTTCATAGTAACTTTTGTGCAGTAGTGAAGGCGAATTTATTGCATTAAAAATTCATGCGTCAATGTTGGGCCGAACTGTGAGTATCCTGAGAATGCGGCTTGTTTTTCACTCAATGAAGTGACAAGAAGTGGACGTTTGGCAAACAAAATATGTGTAGGGCACAAAGTGACCGAATTTAAATTGTGGTTTACCGGTACTAGACAGGATTATTGAAATTGAGCTCAAAGATAAAATCGTGGGGGAAGGTGTCTAAGCTACGTCTTACTATGTTTGCATATGCACACACAATATCCGGCATGTCAGGAACCATGAAAATTGTCCTTGTCTTCCTTCTATATTGCTCGAGAATGCTTAGAGTATTGTACATTTGTGGGAAGTCAGATAACTGAAATGCAAGAAGTGCATTTGGTCACGGTGTGATAGCATGAAGTGAAGCTGCTCAATCGAAACCGAAACTGAGTGGCCAACTAGTTACCAGAGTGCACTACATGGCATTTCGCCGCAGTGGGGCGCATTGAAGTTAGAAAAGAATCTATTGCGGTCGCTCGACATCCGTGCGATGGTGTCAATACTCGTGTCATGCTGTTACCTTCTACAGTCCTAGTGGTGGCTTAGCTGCAGAGCGCCGCTGCGGCTAGCAGCACCGCTGATTAGGCAGTAAACCAATTTTGATTCTCGCCCGTCAAGCGTGGGTGGATGGCATTAACAAATCCCCTTGCACATTTCCTTCCAGGCAAAATCAGCAGCCGGTTCACTACATGAGCACAAATGCAGGTGAGTGTATTGCTTTTGCTTGTTTGGTGTGTCATCTATAGTCATTGAATGAGCTTATGTTAGGCTGATGTGAGTGAAGCTTTATGATTGTTAGTGCATATTTTAAAACCAATTTGTCACCAAGAGCGCCCATAAAACTTTGTGCAACAATGTGGTGGCTCCCACAAATTGCAGATTGTTTAGACAATGGAAAGAGTGAACACCTAGACTCCAAGAGCAGCTCTGTGGTGACTTTATTTCTGTGTCAATTGGAGGCTTTCAGTTTTCATTTAATTTTTCTGAATCTCTCACAAACTGAATTGTTGTCAAGTCTTGACTGAATTCCTGCTCCCTGAAAGGTCACCCATGCCATTCCCCTGCCTAGCTCTTAGCGGCAGAGGCATTCAGCCAGCATGTCTTGTGCCACTGCAATACTGTTGGTTAGGTGCATCGCAGCTCACTGCAAAATGGACTCCTCCACATTAGCACCCTCTTCGGAGGTCGCGGTTGTTGTTTGACATATTGGAAATGATTTTCTGTGTGGATTGAACAAATCATTTGTGATGGTATTAAAAGTCAAGAAATAGCATCCTGGAACAACAATTTGATCTTTTCATAACACTGGTCCTGTATCATACAAATACATAAAAATATGCCGGCATGTCATGGCTCAATTTTGTCTAAAATTCTGTTCTCATATTCTGAAAAATCGCCCACCCAATATTTTTTACACTTATTCTCTTCACCATGCGCAGACTTTTCATTTGGTATTTTTCTATAAAGGGCAAAGTGCAAGTATTAGCTGTTTGTATCCCTAATATTTTTAATGGAATACAGACTGCTCAAAGATTTCTGTTCTGACAAATTGAAGTGTCGTAGAAACTAATGCAAAAATGGTAGAGCACATTAGAAAAGGTTGCTTTTGTTGTCTTCTTGGACAGAGTGCTGGCTTCCCGCAGACATTATCCAGAAACAAAAAAAAAAAAAAAAACGAACAAAAAAACATGGTGGATTGTCACTGCCAGGGCACATTTATTGTTTCAGCATGTCTTTAACATAGTACAAGAAACTTTAGCACGAGTGTACTTACTATCTTGCTATTAAGCATCATAGCCATAGATGCTTTTGTGCCATAAAACCGTGATCAATCAAATCTCTCGTGTCCAAACTCTGCCAATGTTTCTTTTTTTACCCCAGTGGGCAGCAGCAGCCACCCGGTATCTCCAGCCTGCGCCCCGTCCCAGGCCCCGCCCCCACTCCAAGCCCCGCCCCTCCAAAACAGCCCGCAAGTCCCTCCCCAACCCCAGCCCGCAATGGGGCACCACCGCACCTCCTCGGCCCCCACCAACAACGGCGTGGCCCCGCCACCGGCGCCGCCTCCTCCGCCCCCAGGCGGCCCCTCTGGCATGGGTGCGGCCTCTTCCTCGGGGCCTGCCGCAAGTGGCCCGCTGGTGGGCGTGGCCAGCGGGCAGTCTCTCGGGGGCGGGGCCCCGTCGGGGGGACCGCCCCCTCCCCCACCGCCCCCGCCCCCCGGCGGACAGCAGGGCAACGGCGAGGATGGGGCACCGCTGACGCTGGCAGCAGCTATTGCCAGCGCGAAACTCAAGAAGTCGGCCAACAAAGTGAGTGGGTGCAACATGTAGTGTCGGTTTAAATCTGATGCTAGTGCTTCTAATGTACTGATATTATAGACCGTGTCAATAGTTGAGTGTAGTGCAGGCAAAGGGAGAAAGGACAAAGCACTAGGAAGGCTGGGGGGGTGGAGAGAAACCTCTTCTCCTCTCTAATGTTGAGTGCTCACTTTTTCTTTCCTCACCTGGTGTTGCCTTTGCCTGCGCTGCCGACAACCAGTGACATAGAGTATAGAGCCCCGACTGTTGGTTTTTGTTTTTCTGTCGCGGTTTTAAGTTCCCATGGAAGGCAGCTAGTCGTCTTACACTACTGCCAGCACACTGCATTTATTGTTTCTAGCAAGGCGAACAAACGGAAGAGCGACGACGCAAAGTTGGACGACGTCTGCCCGACCGACGCTTTCGTCTCTTCGTCACCTTCTTGCATTTCGTAATTCAAACGCGGCTATCGAACGGTTGGAGACCCTCTCAAATCTGGGCACATAATTTTTCCGTTTCGTTCCGAATCAGAATTTGCCGGCTTGCGATTCCAAAAGAACAACTCGACTGGTTTCATCGGCGTGGTTAACGTGTTTTTCATTTTGTGATCTTGCAGTCGCCGATTTCTGTGAGTGTGGCAAGTGTGTTCTACATTGACGCTTCAGTTTGAAACGAGGGGCTTTACTCGCGAAAAGAATTAGGCAGGGCTCAGAATTCCGGCCTCCCAACAATTCCTCTCTGGAAGCGGTGCAAACAGGATGTTTCGGTTGTGATTCAAGGTTAGATTGCGTCACGATCACGAGTAAATCTGCTTGCTAAAAAGTTTGTGACGTTCGTTACTTTTCTTTTTTTAACCTGCACGTTAGATTTTTGTGGAATGGTGGGACCAAGATGTGTTTCTCGCATGGTCTGTCTAACATCACGGCGCTAACATCGGGAGAAAAAACGGCTCTTTTGTCAACTCCGCGCCGACTGCGCGTCTTTGGCCGAATATATAAAATATTCAAGCGACTGAATACTAGGAATTCGATTCGCGAATTGAGTTATTCGGGAACTTGCTATTCTATTCTAATTCATATATTCGAGTATTCACACACCCCTACTTGTAAGAGAGATCGGCCTATAGTTGGATGGGTTATTGCGATCACCTGATTTAAAAATAGGAATTACTTTTGAAATTTCCAATCGTCGGGCATTTCTGAAGATCCAAAGAGGCATGGTAAAGGTGGCACAAAAGAGTGGATATTTCATCTTTAGCTAGTTTCAAAAACTGCGCCGAAATTTTATGGTCGCCGCAAGCAGAATTTGGATGTACTAACAGGATGCGAAGCTAACGGTAGAGGAAATGACTCCTCGGTGAAGACTTAACTAAAGTATGAGTTAAATATGGACGCAGAGTCAAAGGGTACACATTATTGTTCCACTACCGTCGTTGAGAACGGGAGATGGATTTCGACGTTTAGGCAAGACCGTCTGCCAAAACTTTCGAGCGTTGGTTGATAGCATATTGGGCACATCATGATTAAGGAACTTTGATTTACTCTTTTTTATTTCTGATTTGTATGTTTTAGCATTTTCTTTGCACTTGGCCCAGGATTCAGGAGAATCGCTCGTCCTGGCCAAAGAAAACAACGGTTTATTTTTATTCAGGAGCTTCTTAAGGAAGTTATTAAATAAACCGAGGGCTCGTGACATTCTTTCTTAATGACACTGATGGGACAAATTCCTTGACAAGGGAATGGATTTTATCTTACAGCAGAGTCCAATTCACTGCTACAGATTGCGTGTCAGAGAGAACCAAAAAGTGGTGTGAAAAAGAGTCGAAAGAGCTAAGCAGTTTGCTGGAATCGGCTTTGGAATAGTTTAGAAACGTTTTCTCGACGACATTACGCTGAGCAGGAGAAAATGTAGAGTCATTTAGAACGGCATTGTGATCGCTAATGGTTTCTAGAACGTTGCAAGAGGAAATACAGTCAGGCTCAAATGAAAAGAAAAGCTTGAGGACAGAATCACCACACGTAGGATTGGTGACCATCTGAGTAAGGTTGCAAGATTGAGAGGCAGACAAAACTCCCTACACTCGGACGAGTCACGACAGCCTGGGCAGATGGAACACTCGCTGCAGTTGACACCCGGATAATTGAAATCTCCACCCAAGACTATCAGGCTTCTGGGATGCCTGTTGAATATTCCATTGGGGCATTCGCTCGAAAGGTCGCAGAAGTGACGAGAAAACGTTGGCGGTCAGTAGCATAGGCCAATATTAAAAAAGGGTCATGCTAGTTTCACGCAATCCCATAGTACTTCAAGTTTGTAGTTGATAGTTAAGTGATCACATGAGGGGGTACTTTTCACTGCAATCATGTCACCTCCCCCCCTTGTTTGCAGTCTACTATCTTTCCGAAAAATGTGGTAGTTTCCAAGAAAAGCCAGCTCCATGTTGTCCACATCCTCAGATAGCGCTCATGCCATGATGAACTTTACACCGCTGTTTGTGAGGGCATGACGCGGTCAGGTGAAGTGGGGTTCCACAATTCTGCGGGTGTCAACTGCGACCATTTTACTGCGCTGCTAGAATTTTACTTGCAGTCCACGGCCGTTGTTTTTAATGAACAGTTCTAAGTACAGAAGAGTGGTATTTGTATTGGTTCTTTTGTGGCTCCCGTTTTGTGTGGCATTTATCTTTCTGCTATGGACTGCAGCTCTTTTTTGACTAAGGAACATTTGTGCTGGAGCTATAATTCACGAACTAAGAAAGGCCTCCTTTCTTTCAGCAGTGCCCACTCAAAGCTTGTAAAACGGGGGATTGCATCCACCTGCCTTCACGTAGCCATTACAAAAAGCTGCCAGCATAGACTGCCGGTCAGCTTTGATCACCAGGTTGCTTGCTCGACGAGTGCCGGTTACCCGAAGAGCTCAGTGACAAGTTTGTGTGAAAGGCTCCTACAGAAAATTAAACGAGAGGGCGGTGACATAAGTCGTGAAAAGGCAGTCAAGATGCCAGTGCAGGTGGCTCCATATTGGCACAAAGTGTCCCACAATTTGAAAAGGATGGCTGTTGGACACGGGGTTAACATAGTATTCTCAGCCCCATGCAAACTTTCAAAGATATGCTCCGCGATGTCAAAACGAAAGCTTGTAACGTGCTCAAAAAAAACATGTAACGAGATACATTGAATGCGTGACTAAGGTGGTTTGAGATTCCTTTTAGTTGCGGCCAAGTTCACATCGGTCACATCGGCTGATGCTTTAACGCCTTAAGTGCCACTTTTTTTCTTAAGTAACCTAAAAATGCCAATTTTTTTTTATTGAGAAATTTTATTTTTTTAGTATCATAATACAATTTCAATTTATTACGCAAAAATCAGCGGCGGCGGAAAAAAAAGGCGCCAGCTATAGCGAGTACTGCCATCTATGATCAGCGCCGCAAACTACTCGGACGAGCCTAGCTCGTTCGTGGAATTGAGGGCTACCGAAAAAACCACTGGACGAGCTGAGCTCCAGTGGGCACTTAAAGGGTTAATGAAAGAGCGCAGGAACACAAGTTAGCTGTATGCAATCATTCAAGGGGGCATCTTGCGGAGCACTGCAAACAATGTGGGTGTGAACCTTTGTTAGAGCACACAAGGTTTATTAAGAGAGGGATTGAGAAGATGGAAAGGGAATTAATCGAAGCTTTTTGTATACACAAAGCAGATGCGTGAGCATGCCGTCCCTTTATCTACTAAACAAAGAAATTGTGTTTCTTGAGGGCAGTGTGTAATGAGCGATAGGAATGTTTATCAGTTGCATGTGTTTAGGCGATCGGGATCGACAGTTTGACTATATTTCGTGTTTCGTTAAATCAGTTGCAAGTTGGTGCCTATTTGTGTCGCATGTGTGTCTTTTTTCGTCCTGTTTTGTTCGCGCCTTTTAACCTTTTAATTGAATCCTTGGCCCTGGCAACTTGTGTGAGCCCTTGTGCGTCTCTTTGCGCAGATGGGGGAGGGTTCAGACACCCTGAAGAAGTCGCAGGGCAGCGGCACTGGCAGCGCCGGTGTGCCCATGGGGGGCATGGCAAGCATGATGGACGAGATGAGAGGCACCTTGGCCAAGAGGTGGGGACAACGCTCTACGCGCCGTGATCCCGTCGAGGCCACAGTTCCTTAGGGGAGCACCCAGGGAATTTGGTTCCCCAGAGAACTCCCCCAAAGGAACTTGCATAGGGAACCAAGTCCCCTAAGGAGTTTCTTGTAGAACTCCCTAAGGAAGTTGATTTTTTAGGGAGCACCCTAGGGAGCCAAGTTTCCTATCCTTTCCCCAGTGGTTCCTCGAGCACCTAACTTTTCTCGTGTGTCACTACCCGCAGCAAAATGCATGACTGTGAGTTTAGCACACCCTAATCTTTTTCCCCGTTGCGCGTTAAGGTATCGTTAACAAAATTTGTAAGCTCTCGAACTTTTTCATAGCGAGATCGTCCTCTGCTCATACTCAGTTTATGTGAGGTTTTCCTCAAGTTCAAAAAGTCTGGAGTGCAACAGTGTAGACATTTACTCAAGACCTGGAAAAATGGCCTCTTGTGAATGGGTATGGTCAGAGGTTTTGCAATTCTGTCCAAGCTGTAGTCTCTTACATGTTTAGAACAACAGGGAAGGCTCTCTGTCAAAGCTTTCTGCTCACTACGTTTGGTGGTTTCGTGCTGTTCATCGGCCTTCTTCTTAGCGTTTGCTCCGGTCAAATGGAAAGAGTAGAGGTCTTTGAGGAAGGTGCCTGTCCTGCTATTCTAAACCTGCAACAGACTGTAATGAAATAACAGTAATTAATTGTAATGTAACAGCTAAAACTGTAATGCAAAAAAAAAATTTTTTTTCTTTTTAAGGGTAGGGGCGATTTGGTTATCTCCTCAGGGTAAAAGTTCTGCCTTGGTGGCCGATGTTATAGTTTATAGATAAGGTTCGGTGTTTTCAAATAAAGTTTTTTTAAAAATCCAGAAAGTGCTTATTGACAAATTTTTTGTCAATTCAGATTTATCGGAAAAACTCAGAATTTTTAGGTCACACCTACAAAATAAAAAGCAAAAAAAGGCAGCTTTTTCCAAGTAAGCTACATAAGAGCACAAGGTCAGTGGTTCTGAGAAGGCGCAACTTCAGTTTCTTTTGAAATCTCGAACTACTGACAAAAGGGGTTTGTCTTTTAGCTCGTCGAGATTCCTTCAAGACAACGCATCATGGTGCATGGACTTTACTTATTTTCTTTTTGAATTTTTGAAACTTGAGAGCAGAGTAAAATAAACTCAGAATTTTAGAGAATTGGGAACCCAACAAAAATAAACTCCCATAAACCCCGAATGTTCAGCAAAAAATAAGCTCAGAAAAATCCTTCCGAATTTCATTATAAATAAACTCCAAAAACATGGAATCTTATATATACCGTAATATCCCGAGTCATCGCCCATCCCCGAGCCATCGCCCACCCCATTTTTTGGGCCAATATCGATTTCCGAAAAAACACCGAGTCATCGCCCACCCCTTCAAATACCCCAGCGCGGACTCTGCGATCCGCGAACACTCATCCTACCCGAATGACGCGGCCGCGGACCTTACAGTTGGAGGACGTCCGTGACAAAGTAAAACGAAGGAGGGAAAGACACTTCTTTTTGTTTACGCATTTCCTCCGTGAGCGACCCCAAAGTGGTCGTGTATCCGCGCGAAAAGAAAACGATGGAGGTAACAAAATAAGAGTTTGTTAACGTAACCGCGGAGTGTTAGGTCAAAGTCTGTCTCCGCCGAAGTAAGGTCACCGCGAACCCGCTCCTTCTTCCCGCCCGTCGCGACCGCGGTTGTGCAATATTGTAGGCAAAGCCAAAGCGTAAATAAAGCTTTGCCGGAACGTCCTACACAGATGTTTGCAGAGCGTCCCAACCGTGCATTGATAGCCCGCCGTGCACGGACGCACCTATGTATGCACCAAACAAGAAAGTTGCGCAAGAGCTTGCAATTGACAAGGCGCCCGACTTGGCCCGACGCCAAAATATTTGCCAACCCGACCGCCGGCTTTCCCACTTTCCCAGCATTGCTCCTGATCGCTTCTTTGGTCCGTTCGCTTGCTCGCTCGCTCGTTGCGCCTGGTCGGTTTTTCTATTTTCTTGTAGACTTTTCTTTCTTTTTTTTTTTACTAACTAGGAGAACATAATGGTGACATTCTTTCACGGAACAAACGTTCGTGCTATATGCAGATCGGCGGTGTTTCTAGCGCGTATGCAAGCAACGGACTTCGCTATGGTAAAATATTCTTTCGTGAGCATTTTTTTCTATAAAACAATGAAACTAAATCGAGTTTTGAGTTTGATGTATCTCTCGTGCATCAGCGCTAGATACGCAGAGAAAAATAGGCGGTTTTTTCCGCTTTTTTTCAAGTGTTTGTGCTCACCCACCGAGACATGGCCCACCCCACTTTTTTAACGGATTTCAGGTGGTTGGGGGGTGGGCGATGACTCGGGATATTACGGTAGGTCACCTAGGGGTCCTCCTGCTGGTGTGTTCGTGGGTTGTCATCTGTCCTCGAGATCTTTTTTTTTTTTTAGAGGGTTTTGTTATTTTTTTTAAAGAAAGTGTCTCAATGTCGTAGCCATTGTGAGAAAGGGTTGTGCTGTTTAGATGAATCTGTCTACCGCTATCAAGGTCTTGATGTTAAGGGGTCATTCGGTTGTTGTGTCCACAAAGAGTATCTGTGAAGAGGTCGGTGACATCAGCATCAGGTGTATATGAGGAGTGATAAAAATAAACAATCTTAGCTGCGTTTGAGACATTCTCCTGCTGTTGTCTTTTTACAGTGGAGCTGTTAAGGGCTACTTTCCCCCGGATCGTGCCCGGTACCAAACAAATGTCGACACAACACTCTGGTTGCCGCCGTCGCTCATAGGTGGCGGTAGCTGTCCAGAGTGTTGTGCTTGCCGCCGTCGCTCATAGATCGCGGCAACCTTTCCAGCCTTGGCAACCAGACAACTGGTTGCTGCCATTGCTCATAGATGGCGGCAACATTTTTTCGGAGGAAGAATAGCGGGAACGGAACGAGCGGCGATGTGCGCAGCAGTGCGAATGGTTGCGCGATTGCCGCGAGGCCGCTGCCGCCTTAAGTTCCACTGTGTCGAGCGCTTCAGATTCCCTCGCGAAGGAAGAGCAGATTGCTCGCCTGGAAAGCCACCGCCGAGAACAGAAGCTACAGCTCCGCTGCCCTTCCTTCTTCACCAGAGTGGAAAGGCTGAAAGCTTTTTTTTCTTCAACTTGGAAAGTTTCTGAATTTTTCAGTACCAGTATCTGGGGTGTTACATTATGATTAACAGACTAGTTTTGCCTCCAGCCTTGCTTCTAAATCAATGTCTGCAACCGGCGTGCACCTCGTTTTGTGCTCAGAAATCTGTGCTTGAAAATTGAATTCTATTCTTCCTTTTTTTCCAGACGAGCACAAGTCGAAAACAGTCAAAGTCAGGTAAGATATTTCTGTCCCACCTATTTCTTTGCACTTCTCTCGTGTTTGCAATTCCTCCCCGTCTTCTGCCAGAGTGTTCGAGCGGTACTGTTGTTTCAGGGCATTGACGTAAGTGCCGCAATTGCCTGGGCTTTCCGCTCTTGCAATCATGTTGTCACGACCATTGTACTTGAGGAACCGTTTGCTTATCTGCCTTTGTTTCTGATGCTGAGCTGAAGGTGTCGTTGCATTGTTTTTGCAGGGCACCTTTGATATTGAGGTAAAAGATACTTTGTGCTTTTGCACCCCTTCACGCCGCATTTTGATATTTTTTTAAGATTTCTCTTTCTTATTATTTCTTTACATGTTAGTAGAGTTATTCCTGGTGTATACTGTCACTTATCTGTGTACTATTTATATACTTGGTGATTGACTCAAACAAGTGTGTCATTATTGCTAATGCTATACTTGGTTTCCCTTTAACCCCTTGCCTACTAATGATGAGTCACAGTTGTCACTTGTGCCACCCCCTTACGGACCATGAAGCCTGATATCGAGTGTGACTCTCGTTTCGGTTTTGGCAGCGTGCTCTCTGGCAGATGGCAGAACCACCCCTGTTTACCTTGGGTATTTTGCTCATTTGTTTTACCATTTGACAGCGAGTGAACACTCCATTTAGCCAAAAAAGAAAAAGCAATCGCTTGCGAGCGTTTGCTCTAAAACAACATGTCTTTGGTGCGGAGGTCCGCTTTAGCTGGCAAAGAGATATAGGACCGTCTTTTTGAAAGGGATTAATGCTCGGACACATGTGACGACAAATCCTTCGGCCTTTCCGATATTTGGGAATCGGACGATAGTTTGATGGGCAGTGACAGGAGTGATGAAAACGATACGAATCCTCCAAGCATTCCATCAACTTCGGCGTCCGCATGTTGTTGGGACTCGGACCAGGAGTCCTGATTTAGAGTAAGATATGATACCTGGAAGTCGAGGGAATGTTTTTGTCTTATTTTATTGCATACTGCCCGTTTAAAATAAAATTTTCCTGCGGTTTTTTTCGAGAAAAAGAGATGAGTAGGCAAGGGGTTAAATGTGAGCGCAGCAGAAGCTACAAGGCCAAGCTCTGGGCTTTCAGCGTTCCTGCTGAGCACGTCTGCTCACACAATGTGAGCGAAACTTGAGGCAACATGCTCCTACTTGTAGCTTCGGTTTCGCTCTCACACAAAGCAAAACTGTTTTTTTTTTTTTTTTTTTGCCAGATCACTTGGGGAGGCTTGCTAATATAATTAAAGAGAACATTGAAGATTTGGGAAATTTGTGCGGGGAATCGTGAAAACAAAGTGAACCACTATGCTGACGATTGAAAGCGTTGCAGCGTGAGCCCATCGCACAATCTGGGATTCTAAAGCATAGGCTCTCAAACTCCCTGACCTCAAGGTATCCCTACCTCTCCCGATCGACGACCAAGGAATTCCTCCCAGTCTCGACACTGGTGCATTAAAGGAGTGCGGAAGCCTACAGGGTCCTCTAAGCAATAATGCACATGCTAGGGACTTGGCCCGTAGTCATGAATCAATGTTTTGTTTAGATAATAGTGCTTAAACAGGAGAAATGCTTTACACAGGGCCGGAGACGGTCATGGAAATTCGGGAGTTTGGGGGTTGGGAGTCAGGGGAACTCCTGAGGGCCGTTTAGGGAACCCCTGGAGGGTGTCTGGAAAACTCCTGTTTCCTTGGAACCCAGTTTGAGAACCCTTAAAGGATTTTGTCCTTCCTCCCTCAGGATGGGGAAATGTCGTCCGACTCTCGGAAAAATTGGGACAAGCAGGGTTCCACAAACGGGACCAGCCCAAGCAAAGTGGCTTCCAGTGGGGCCGAATCACCCAAGTCAGGAAGGGGGTCAGTCACTTTTTGACTCCTTTTTACTCTCCTTGCCTCGTTCTTCAGTTACTCCCACATGTTTGCTACCTTCGTGTTCCCTTTCCTCAACTGTTTACGCAGATATTTCCAGGTCTAATGTAGCTTTAAGTTGGAATTGGTGAACAGATGCGGGAATAGACAAAACATGAGTGATTCGGTTGGTGACCAACGAACATAGATCCATCTAGTAATCGTGACCAGTGGGTATGGTGGAACATTCACTTAGGACAATCCAGTCATGAGTGCAGAATAACTGTTGCGTGAAAGATGTTCAGCTCATGTGGACAAGAATATAGTCGAATCTCATTAATTCATACTCGAGGGGAACCGGAAATTTGTTTGAATAAAGCAAAGTTTGAATTATCGAGAGTTTCCTCCCATAGAGACAGATAGGATGGGACCTGCATGTTAGTTTGAATTATCCGCAAGTCTGAATTAAGAGAGTTTGAATTAACGAGATTCGAATGTGCACATACTGTAAGGTCTGCACAAAATGAGCACCAACTTGTGAGAACAAGTACTTCATTAGAATTGTAGTGCTGTCACAAGCAGGTCGTGCCATTAGGGAAGCTACTGAGCATGCAATCTTGTTCTGAGCTTGGCTTGTGCAAAGCTTTGTTGGAGGGAACATGTGTGCCACTGTAACATCTTCACCGCTGCACCTTTGTTGTGAAGTGACTTTCTGCCTTTACTTTATGCAGACGTGAATATTTGCCAGTCTGACCTGTACATGGTCTTAAGAACGTGCCTTCGTGAATGTAGGCTCCGCTTGGTCTTTCTTGGACCCTGAATGTTCTGCAGGATTAGTTAGTTTCCTCGAGGGCACTTCTCACCACGCACTGGTGTAGGTAAGACAAGGGCGGCGTAGGCATCACAATTTTGCGTGTCTTGTTTCTCCAGAGCAAGACGCAACACAAATTCTTAATACAACTTCAGCTTGTATGATAGACTGCGCTATCCTGGTGGTACCTCTTTCCAATTTGAAATTTAGCAAGGATGCTTTGGTATTGAAAGAATATTTATGTGCACCCTTTTGTAGGTTTATTTTTTTTTATGCCAACTTTTTTTTGTTTAGTTATCACCTTTATATAGGTGTTTTAAATTAGAGCTAAATTGTCAGGAGCAATGGATGGAAGCTTGAGGAGAACCTTGAGTTTGGAGGGAGTGTTCTTAAAAAGGCATATTGAATGTTCACATACCCATTTTTGTTATGAAGTTCTACATATAAAATGTATTTGACGTTCATAATCAAATGAAAAGTGCTTTGTGTTTTTTTAATCTAAATTATAAATTGCAGTTTATAACAACCCCTAGAACTTGAAGCAAGCATTAATTTAGGTGCTCAAAATTATTGTATAATAGCATTATTTCAGTGGGATTCAGTAGCTAAAATAACTATTCACAGCTGTCCTTGCTGTCCTTCATCAGTCACCTTCTTGTTACCGTGTCTGTTGCTTCTCCACGCAGCCAAACACTAGTTGTGTGTTTGAGGGAAGCGCTCCTGCTGCGCAATTGACGCTAACAAAGGGTTGCACGTGAGTGAGAAGGCAAAGAAGACATTTCTTTTTCTTGGGCAGGCCGGCGCATTAATTTTAACATATGTGCAGTGCTATGAAGGGACATCAAATGTGCGCTCATGCTCCAAAAATTATTTTTGCTACTCCAAAATTGACTTTTAGCTGCCCCAAGATCCAGTTCTAAACGACTCAGACTGATCACGTCGCTGATATTGTAGTTGTAGTAGTTGTTGTTGTAGTAGTAGTAGCACCTGTAGCTGTAGCTGTTGTCGCTGTTGAAGTTGCTGTTGTAGTTAGCACTGTAGGGCATCCGTCGTCGGTGTTGCCAAATCCTTGAAAAGGATCGCCCGCCACCCGCGGCAATCGAACCCGCGTCCGCTGCGTGTGAAGTGGAGGTGTTTACCCCTGAACTACGCCTCAGCATTGACAACCAGCTCTATACTTAGTGTTTTTGTTGTATCTGATGCCCACTGCATGCACTCTCAGAAGAAAAAGATTAGCCAATAACAAAATGTTTTGCGGCAAGAGCTTGGGCCGGGAGACGTGCTTTCACGCGCTCCGGAACAATAAAACAAAAGGGTTTGGAACAAAATGGTCGGATGTCTTTTTTGTTCCAAACGCTTTTGTTGATGCGCCATTGTGCATGAAGGCAGTGCTGATGCCCAATGGCTTCGCTGTTACCTAACTAGTAAGAACAGCACACACATGCTAAGGAGGGAGGATGAAATGCTTGAAATGAAAAAAAAAAAAAAAAACGCGAGGGTTCCAGCGGAAGCACAATGTTTTTCACCTTTTAACGAGTGCGGTTTACTGCAGACCCTCGAAGAGCGTGCGAGGCCTTTTTTTTTTCCGCCCGAAAAGAGAAAGCAAGATGAGAATTGTATAAGTATATATTTTGTTTCTTCAGTGGCGTTTTGGACTTAGGGCTCTAAGGTGACTTAGTGCTCTAAGGTTGGCGCATTCGTCGGCGCGACAGAAACAAATGAAACCGGGCATTGGCGCGGAGAATTTTATTCTTGCTTTAAAACGAGTGTTGTGCGAATATTCAAATTGAAATTTCGAATAATACATTATTCAATATTCGCTTCAAGGTGAACTCTGATATTCATATTTCAGGGGCAAAGCTCCTTAGGGTCTAGCCTTGTCCGTCCGTCCGTCCAGCGTCCATGCTCACATCGATTGCATTGCCTCCGAAATCGGCCCACTCTAAAAAAAAAAAAAAAAAAACGTATGCCCGCAGGGGGTTTGAACTCAGGACCACTTGCCTACGAGGCAGACGTCTTAACCACTATGCTACACTCCAACGTTGCATGTAGCCGCTCAACGTCTATACGGGAGAGGGCGCTGCGGTCAAATGCGTATATAATTGGGTTAAACTTTGCATGCATTGGCTCAACGTTTATAGACGAGAGGGCGCTGCGGTCAAATGCTCAACTGCGTATGTAACCACGATTCATACCACACATTCTCTTTCTGACATGGACCGTTGACTTAAGCGGTGGAGATGCCTTCCCACGGCTTCTAGCGGATCCAAGCTGATCTGTTGGAAGAACCACTGGCTTTGCATTTCACCGACCATAAAGCAGTAATAATGAAGTTGAAATGCAACCCGGAACTCAGCACTACCTATGAGTGATAAAAAGAAATCAGTATCATCAGCACCGCCTGAGCTTCGCCCCAATCAACATCATTCACCACGTGGAGATGCAGCCTTTTTTTTTTTTTAGGTGCGAAGTTCCTTAGGGTTAACCTTGTTCGTCCGGCGTCCGTGCTCACATTGATCTTGCTGGTGCTCGTGAGCTCACGTGCTACTGTGCTCGTGTAGGGCAAAAAATAAAAAAATAAATGAAAAAAAGAAAAAATGTTTGTGCAGTCGACAGGATTCAAACCTGTGCGGGGAGACCCCAATGGATTTCTAGTCCATCGCCTTAACCACTCGGCCACAACTGCGGGACGAGTAGGGGGCTCTGAGATGTGGTAGTAACTCAAGAGCTGGGGATGTCATGGATGAAACATTGCATGGAGCCGCTTAGCGTCTATACAGGAGAGGGCGCTGCGGTCAAATGCTCAAATGCGTATATAACCCCGTTCCATACCACACATTCTCTTTCTGACATGAATGAAAACGAACGAAAGGCTCGGCATGCTGCGGCTCAGCGTCTACGCAGACAAGCACCACCAGAGCTTCGCCCCAATCAACATTCACCACGTGGTGATGCGGTCAATTTTTTTCTAAAGTGTTGACCGCGGCAACTTAGCCCCATTCAGGGCTCTTCTTGCTGAGCTTTGGTGCACTCCGAAGAAGCAAAACCCCCAGAGCTCGCTTCCTCGGCTGTTGCTTCTCTGCGGTGCAGCGGAGCTCGGTAAGAAGCACGCTCTACGGGGCTAACCCGCCGCGACCAACACTTCGAAAAGTACAAACATTGCAATCACGTTCTTAAGAGGAAAGCTCACTTTCAAAGTAGATGGTGCGTGCACGCACATGCTGTGTGTAGGAAGAAACTGGAACTTTGTGCATGTTGATATCTACACTACAGTAAAACTTTCAAAATTAAACTGTAGGTATTATACAAGAGTATATGTTAGGCAGATATTTTGACAACCTACAATTCATAATTCATGATTGTCTTTATTTGTTTTCTAAAATTCAGAAGTTAATGAAGAATATTGGAATACAGCAAGATGATTTGTGTCAAATGCATGGTTTACTTGCCGTTCCCATATAGGCAATGGACTTTTTGAGGTCACGGTTACAAATATAGCTAGATTAAAATTAACTTAGATATGGACAAGGAGAAGCTTGTGTTCAGATGGGTTTTCGTTTAGGCATGGTGCAGTAGTGAAAAGCTTGGAGATACTATTCGATATTCGATTAGAAAATTTTTGGCTAAAACCACTATTCGCTTCGAATTTGCATTGAATTCAAAATCCACTTTTTGCACATGCCTACTTGAAACCTTCTATAAGTGACGCAGGACTGTTTGCATGTTTGTACAGCTACAAGGTATCGCTTCTTCCTTCAAAACCTTGAAATGCTTTGCTTTCAGTGGTATGTTGATAGATAGTGTGCTTCCCAGGTTAGGTACAAGCCTAACCTGTAAAACACAGCATAGAATGATTGTGGAATGACCTTCGTTCGACCTTGACTCAATTTTGAATATATGTGTTTTTGCTCTCGCAACTGGTGTAAACTAATGTATCGAATAATGCATCTGGACTAGGTTTTTCAGGAAACTTAAAAGGGGACCAGAGCACCATCTCAACACCCGTGACCTTGGAATGACCTTGGTTCGACCTTGACTCGACTTTGCATTGGTGCAGGCAAAGGATAGGCTCCCTGGGTGACACGGAGGCCCTGAAGGTGAATGGGGTGGATGCCTTCGACGTGGACAAGCTGAAGCAGGAGATCATGACTGAGATCCGCCGAGAGGTCAGCAAGATGAAGCAGGACATCATCGAAGGTGAGAGTGGTGCATTGTCTTTGCCAGCTGCACACCTTGGTGTACAAACTGCCATAATGCCTTGTTAAAGCTGGTTCAGACCTTTGCGTTTTAGTGTGACCGACTGCCTTACGACCACAGCTTATGACAAGATTGCTATCTTGTCATAAGCTATGGCAGCCAAGTGCAGCTCGTTGTATTAGAATGCAGAGAGTTGCAGGGCAGTCTGTCGTGCTCAAATGTAAGTGTCTACCCAAGCCCTTGTGAATTGAAACTGAAGTGATTTGTTAGCCTGAACCAAATGCATGAAGGTTAAAGGACGGAGCTCTGGCTTTAGGGGGGCCACAAGAAGCGTAATTTCTTTTTAGCAGTCTCAGACCCCAGTGAGAAATGGTGCCTGATATTCCTGCATGCCTCAAACACTTTGTGCGCTCTATTGCCCTTCTAGCCATTATTGCGGTAAGCATGTCCCAATTTGGGTTTAAATAATACCTGCAGAGAAGGAATTTAGTTAATAGTTACTCCGTTGTAAAAACCGCAACTTGACTTTAGGTCGCTTTCCGCTAAGTTTAGTGTTCGTGATTAATGGCGCATCACATTCAATGCATTTTTTCTTAAATGCAAACTTATCCAAACTCGAATGTGGTTTGAAAACATTATTTTCATTCCAACTTTCGTTTTGGTACTCCTGCCAATATTTTCGTAGCATTTTCTCAATTTGCCCGTCACACCAACGATCGCGAAAAAAAAATTCTTTTGCACTGTTTTCTATTTGAAGCTTTGGACAGCGGTGGAAACGTTGTAGCCCGTCACTCGAGAGAAACAGCTTAGTATCCTCCCTGTGTTTTAACGTGTTTCTTGCATCTTTGCAGCTATCAAGGTAGAACTGAACAGGAGATAAGGGTGGTGACGCTGGGCGTTCATCCCTCTGCAAACTGTCCTGTACTTGCGAGATGCCACGTCTCGTCGGCGTCGCCGTTCGTTCCATCTTCGGTCGCCATCTTCGTCACGAGAGTCAGGGAGGACTCTGCCGTCTTCCGCGTGAAGGAACAACATGTGCCGAGTCGTCGACGCCTCCGGTCGTCGCGCGACTTCTTATTTTTCTTTTTTTTTTTTACGACCGATGCCGTTACTTAACTTTGGAACGCACTGAGACACAAACATTTCTCTCAAAAACATTGCGAATGCTGGCTTGGTCTTGCTCCGTAAGCCGACATAACTTACTGGCAATGCGTTTCAGTTCAATACCATGAGTGCTTTTTGTTTTATTTTTTTACATTAGAAAGATTTGTGACTTTAGAAGCCCTTTTTTTTTGTGTGATATTGTGGATGGAGTGCTTGGAAGTGTCTTACGAGAGCCATCTCTGCTTCGGACACTTGCGCATCCCTGAAAGTGAACAACTGATTTTTGCAACGAATGTACTATAGTACTTTTCTTTTATGCTTCGTCGCATCACCTGCTTTCTCGTAATCTTGTTTTTCGGTGCCTGTTGCTTCGTAAATTATGACTGTATGCGAGCTGCAAAACTAAAGAAAGACGGTTGACGAGGGCACAAAGCACAATGTATTGTACCTTTCAGCAAGTGCGGTTTACGGTCGACCCTCCCAAAGAGCGTGCGAGGCCTTTTTGTTTTTCCCCTAAAAGGGAAAGAGAGACGAGAATTGTGGATATTTTGTTTCCTCTTCAGTGACGTTTTGGACTTTGTGCTCTGTTCTCTTGGGGAACGAGGTGCGTGTCGTAGCGTCCGTGGCGTCGCCCCCGGGCGACTCTTCGAAACTTTTTTTGTCGTATTTTTCTATTGGGTTACGAGGAGTCGGCAACCGACCTTTGAGGCAAAGGCGTTTTGCGGACGACGGTCCGTCTAAGGTCGGTGCTACAGAAACGAAGGAAACCGGGCGTTGGTGCGGAGAATTTAATTCTTGCCTTAAAACCTTTCTATAAGCGAACGCGGGATATGTGGACTGTTTGTATGTTTGTACTGCTACGAGGTATCGCTTCTTCCTTCGAGTCCTCACAATATATAATAGCGTTTTCCCCCCTGCATGAGCCGAAAGTGTCAGTCAGTATATTGTAACGTAGTGTAACGGACGCCAGGCCAGGACGGAACCCCCCCAACTTGTAACGCATGGTCGTCCCGCGCTCAGTCTGTGATGTTTGAACGAGGGGGGTGAAACTTAAGCTCGTTTTCGGCTGGCCTTCAGTTTTCGTTCATGAACCTTCGTATAGAGTACCTCCAGCCGACGTTTATGTTTTTCTCTCGGCATCGATCGACAGTTTGCTCAGCTGTAGTTTAGACGAGGGACTACTGACAGTTACAACGACGGTTGAACGATTCACCTTAGTATTGTTTTTTCCGATTGGCTGGATTGCATGTCGGCATGCCAGCTCGAATGTTACTTCTATCTCTCTTGCTGGCGAGAGTGGTTTTTGACGATTGTCATGCAGTACCTCACAAAATTTTTTTTTTTTTTTGTGAAATGTTTTGTTGGACGCGCAGATTTCTTTCGGCTTGAGTCTCGATTTCCGGTGGGGTCTGCGAACAGTCCTTGTTACAAAACTGGCCTGTACATAAGGTTGCCGTAGGTGACCGTTCGGGGGCTCAAAAGCGTCTGCTTTGCTTCGAAGTTGCACCTTTCCCGTGGCTTTCTGTACCGCACACCTAGGCATGTTCCTGTTCTGTCTCAGTATTACCGCACCACTTGCAATCGTGGATCATCGGCACTTGGCACGAACCCGACTCCTGCCCCCGGCAAGGGTCAGGTTCTCTTTTAACTAGGTTGCTGCTTGTGTTCGACACCGCAATACGTGAAACGTGCGACCCAAGAAAAAGGTGCAATCGTTCCGTTCCTTTGCTCGAAAGGAGACATTGTAGAATTTCAGTTCTAATTTTTTCTGCGGAGACCTTTTTAATCTTTTACTGTGAGCGGTGAGAGTTTTGCCTCAATCGAACTGCTTTGAACAACTGTCGTCTTCGTTTTTGGGAGTATGCAGAAACATATCAGGGTTGATTGGCGAGGCTTCGCGTCCGTGGTTCTGGAACTGTCAATCAAATCTCGTTGCTCATTTATTTTTAGTTTCTTTTTTTAATTTTGTGGATTTTATAATTATCGATGGGTTAAAAATGCCTCCACCATGGAAAGTTCATGCCAGGGGCGAGGAATTTACCGAATTCTTTACCCTTCGCCGACCATACATGCGTTTTGAGTTCCCGATGCCGAGTTCTCCATTGATTTGTGGTCACGCGTGCCGTATTGCGAGCATTGCGGAGTATCGACGCACAGATCGGTGAATGGCAATGGTTCGTCCTTTCTCCTGGCCACTATGCATTTCTCAAAGGTGCACACCCACTCCATGTTCGCCGTACTATCGTGACGCGTCTCACCGAAACGAAAACGGAGCTGAATTGCGCATTCGGTTTTTACATCCTCGGAGTTGTGGTTGTTGCAGTCGCTTGCAGGTTGAGAATGGTGGGGAGGAGCTTCGGTCTTCTTGCCTTTGACACAAGTTTTGTACCCTCGATAACATTTCGACGTCTCAGGCCTTGACTGCGTCGAAAAACGGATCCTGCCATTCTCACCCTGCGGGCGACTACAGTAGGTCCTTTGTCCTAGTCTGCCTTCCCCATTCCACTTTCCTAGACTTTGATACCAGACATCATCCCTCCCCTCCAAAGTTCCTTTGCCCGTTTCCCACAAGGTGCGTAAGCGTGTTTGTGTGTACATGTATATTTGAGATTTTTGTGAACGGAGTGGCGTTTGTGCTTTTTGGCGTTGGAAGGACGCGGGGCAATTTCGCCCCATATTGTCGGCTCGGAGTCCTGGGAGAAGTGCATTTGGCAACTTCCTTTCTTCCCAAACTCTTTTTTTTTTGTTCTTTTTTTTTTTTGCAGGTCGTGTTTGTATAATGCGGGGGCTTTTCTTAAAGAGAACGTTGGGAGTGTGCATAATGAGGAGGAAGGGGAACCATGTGAATAAAGACACGAATCAACAATGTGCAATGGTGTCAGTTGTGCTTACCTGAGAGGACAGCAGACTCAAGTTTTGTGTGGCTTGTTGTCCCTTGTTTTCCCTCGATCTTGGGTGTTTCCGTTATGAACTCTTCCACTAAACAAAAATATGAAGAAAAAAAAACTTCCCGGTACCTTGCCGCGTTTTGGAAATAAACTGCGGCAACTGCACACTGTGCTTGGCTAGACTGACTGTATGCTCCGCTTGCAGAGCAGATGATTGCAATGGTGCTCCCACGACGGCGATGTTGGATCCAAGCTGCACTGCGGGAAGCGACAGTCGCTTCTGCAGGAGCTGCGGATGGCACGGCCGTGAGGCGGCGTGCTGCGGCGTGAGGAGCAGAGAACATTTAGTGCAGCGACACGCCGCGCGTGCGCTGTCTCCTGTCATTTGTGCCCTGTTTTCCTTTATGCCCTCGGTAGAACGTAGTTGCAGACGGAAACGTCCCTTCGCAAGATGTATCTGCGCATTGTCTGCTCCGAGGAGCCCGGATGTGCCAGTCGCGTATCACTCCTCGAGCGCCGCAGATGCGAGCCACACGATCGTCCTCCGTGTCGTCTACTTCCCAGACTTTGGAAACTTGTTTTGAAACATCGCTCGTGTTATAAAACAACGCGATTGACCTTTTTCAGAGTTCGTTGAAGCGACCGTGGCGCACCCTCGTGGAGATAATTCAAAACGTTTGCGGGCTCAGTTCGTCCTCCCGTCAACCCGTCTGCTTCCTCGACGCGATCGTTTTGGGGCGTTCGTTGTGGAAAGTTTTTCTCGCTGTTTTCCGGCTGTCGTTCTCTACAAATGGCTGATGACGATCCCGGAGGATCGAGTAAAGCAACCGTCTTCGATACTGCGGACTTTATCCGTCTGTACGCTTTTCAAGATAGACGGAGTGCCGATGCTGCATCGGTACCGGTCGTCGACACAGCGCGCGTCGATTGGTGCTTCGCGAAGGACTGCAGACAACTCCGGAAAGGATGGGCCTTCAAAGAAGAAGCCTACGTCAAGAAAGCCATGGTGACAACTTTCATCCCGACCCCACCGGCACCGCATCGTCTGTGAAACCGGGACATTTACAGGCAACTGATATCGCTTTCCAAGAGCGCCGATATCGTTCAAGCGTCTTGCGACTGCGTTGCCAGGGTGAGTTTATTTCTCCGGTAAAACCCGTGGCGACGCAATATTGTGTCTTAAAGGACACATGCAAAGGAAAAAAACATTTTTTCCTTTGCATGTGTCCCCTCTTCCCGAGAATGCCTTTTGTGTGTCGCAGAAGTCGCTATTGTCCCCCTACAAGATTACAGAAGATTAACCCGCCACTCAAAATTCGTACAAAAGCAGCCGCTTCGGTGGCTGGAACGACTAGGCCATCCTCTCGACGTCAGCCTCGCCGTAGCTTTGCTCGTCCCGAGACGACCTACGTCACGATTGCGTTGGATGTCACGTGGTCTCCGCTGGGCCTTCTCCGAGCGCTTCCCAGAGTGGGCCGTTTATAACGAAAACTACAGCCACCAGGCTCAAAATACAAACGTGCGATTGTCATTTACGGATATTGTGGATCATATTCAACCTATTTTTGAACACGACGGGAATATTTCAAATTTCGTTGAAGTATCCCTTTAAGGATTACAAGATGTGCCAATATTTATAAGGCGTGAGCTCCATAGTCGCTATCCTTTCGGCGCATTTGTATCGAGATCCGTGTGTGCCACTCCTTTGATCATATTTTATGCGTGACGCGATAAGATCTAAAAAAAAACAAGATTAGTTGTCTTTTGTCTTTTTCGTGGTACTTCAGCATGCGACTAAAAAGGGCCAAGCTATGTCATCGATCCACTTACGAACTAGATTATCTGCTGATATAAAATTCTGTTGTAGGACATTTTTTTATTCAATATTTTAAGGAGTTTCAAGCGTAAATATAATTTTTGCAGGTTGAGCGGAACATGCCAGCACATAACTGGCCTGCTCTTTGCACTTTGCGACAGTGTAAAGATCTGTTTTTCGTAGCAACGGCTTGGCGTCCCGCCCCTTCGCTGCTGTGCTGTACCGTGCGAGCAAACTCGGTGCGAAGGCAGGTGTCGGCTATGAATGACTAGCCTGCACGGAGTACGACGGGTATCTCCTGAGTTCAAACAAATATGAATGAACTAACCTCCAACGAAGTGAACACTACAAACACGCGAGTTCGCAGATGGCTGCCAAGGCGTCCCGTCGGAGTTCTGGCGTCGCAGCGCTTGAATCCATTTTTCTCTCATCTTGAGGTGCGCGGTAGCTTTCGGGAATCTAAAGAAGCTCGCGTTCAGCGTGTTTTTTTTTTATGTTTGTACATCCAACAGCCGAGCAGTGGTGAGGCATCGCGACAGAGCCAGGCAGCGTACGACGAGAGTCTGCAAAGATGGCGCCTTTTCCTTTCCTACTCTCTCCTCAAGTAGGGTGGCTAGAGAGTTGGGTGTGTCGAGCGCGCCGGCTCTCCCATGCATCGCCGCGGCCGGTTTGGAAAATCACCATCAGGGGCGCTCTAATCAGCCTGTATGCCAGGCGCGCGCAGCTGGCGCGGGGATTTGCGTGCGGGAAGGCGGGTAGCGACGAATTCACGCCCGCTTTCATCCGTTCTTCAGCGCTTGTGTGAATTTATTTCAACCGTTTATGCATGCCCGTTCGTCAGGTGACACGTGGAGACTATGGACGTTGCCCCGTCAACCTCCGGCGTAAAGAAAAAGCGGCGAGCGAAGCACTGCTTCGTTCCAGGATGCACGACAGGCTACAGGTCTGCAAAAGAAAAACACACGTTGTTCGCCGCCACGAAGGACCCAGTTCTCTACTCTCACTAGGACAGGAATATTCCGAGGGGAGACACGCATCTTCAGGAAAACTCCGGGGTGTGCGCACTTCACTTCGACGAGCGGTACATCGAGCGATACTTCTCTAAAATATCGCTCGATCCGTTCGAGATATCGCTGTATGAGTGGTGTTTTGGGGTTAATAATAATAATAATAATAATAAGTTTATTCACAAAGAAAGCATACATACAATTTACTCAGTCTCACAAAAAACACTTGCGTGCCTGTGCGTGAGTACTTACTCACGCACAAGCACGTAGCGTCCTGCTGAACACGTCTGCGGCCAGTGTTGGGAAGTACTTTAAGCGCATTGTACTTAAAGTACTACTTAATTTAGGTTTAGAAAACTTGCACTTTACTTGAGGTACATTCTCTGAGTACGTACTTGTACTTAAAGTATTCTTTTCTGCTACTTTCCGAGGAAAGTACAATTCCCGACTTCAAAGTGCATTGCCCATGTCAATAAGCTGCGACTGTTGCAGAAAAAGGCGCTTAGAGCTATCGAAAATGTTCCTCGAGATTATCATACCCTTCCCCTATTTTTGAAACATCAGGTCGTCGACATTTCCTACTTGTATCCCTGGAGACTAATTTACATGTATCAACGATCAGTAAAACAAAACATCAAAGTTATTTTAAATCTTGGAAACCTGGTGAGAAACGAAGTAACATATTCATTACGTGACCCTCCTCATTGGCGTGTTCCCCCTTCCAGGACCAATTTTGGATTGCAGAGATTTAACTACAGACTGGCGGTTTTGTTAAATAAGCTGGCATCCCGAGATATTGACATACGCTCCATAAACTATCAGGCAATTCAAAGAATATAATATCGAACTGTTTTTTCTTGTGTTTCTTCTTCTGTGGTTATTGTATAAGAGTTGTATATTTAGAATTTCTGTAACCTAGCTGTGCCCCCATCACTGCTGCTTGGTTTTGGGGGGCGCTGGACTTTGTCAAGCTGCGAGTACGCAGCTTTTTTCCAGCCCCCTAGTCCCAAATGTAATTGTTTGTGACTTAATAAACTGATTGATTGATTGATTGATTGATTGAATTTCGTTTTGTTAAATTTGTATCACGAAGTGATGCCTTGTCAACTCCGAAGAAATACTGGGAGGGATATTCTACTCTCACCAGAAACGTGAGCAGACGACGCATCGCACTGTTTGTTCTGGGGGCGGCTTTCCCGTAGCTTTTTGACTTCTCGTTACTTCTCGGTCGGTCAGCGCAAGCGAGGATGTTTAAAATATTAGGAGAGAAGAATTAATCATAATGCAGCACCTAAGTCTGTGGTGCGAAAAAATTTAATTTCCATGTCGACGTATAAGAGGAAACAGAGGAGAACGTTGGTTTGAGACATTCTCTTTTGCCATTTCCTTCTATTTGAAAGTTCCTTAATTTTTTTCGCACCCCAATCGCAGGTGTCACATGATGATTCATTATCACCAGCACGCTTGCATATTTATTTTTTTTTTATTTTTTTTTTATTAAGGAGAGGGCATTTTGCTATGAGAGGATTGCTTGCGGAAGCTACGGTGCTGACGTCATGCTCTCTCCTAGTACGTTTAACCCCCTTGGGTGAAACAATCCAGTGCAAGGGGCGCAAAATTCAGAAGAGGGTCTTCTGAATTTGGCTCCATTCCTGAAAAAAAAAAAAAAGAAAAAACTACTCTGCGGCTGCTTGACTTTATCAAATATTCGCCGCTGTTTTTGAGGTCATGCTCCTTTGATTACCCTTGGGTAATGCGTACCAATTAAAAAAAATCACTGTATAGGGGTGGCCAGGCTGGCCTGGCCTAAGAGCCGCAAACAAAACCACGGAACTTCTAAGAGCCGCAGGGGGAGGGGGGGGGGGGGGGGGGGGCAAACTTAACTTTTGTGAAGAGTCTGACTGTACGTAAGGGGGCATAAGGCTGTACGTATGGGAGTACAAGGCTGTCAAACTGCAAGGTGCAGTGTGCTTTATTCTGAAATCCTTTTTTTTTTCGGGGGGAACGCGGAAAGGGGCGAAGGGGGGGGAGGTCCCTTTACGAGGGATCCGCGAGCCGCATTTGGACCAGCAAGGAGCCGCATGCGGCTCGCGAGCCGCGGTTTGGCCACCCCTGGTATAGGGGTATGAAAGGGCATCATGAAAGAATGTGTTAAAAAC